AGAGAAAAATATAATGATTTCAGTGAAACTAAAATTTAAATATTATTATAATAAATCATTTGTCTTTCTCCAAGAGGGAAAGGTCACATCCTGATTTCTCATCTGCTGGTCTTCCCCTTTCTTCTTTTCGCTCCGGCAATGTCGATTCCTTCGCGGCGTCGCTGTGCGCCGGCTCTCCTCTTCTTCCTCATCTCTCTCTCACTTGCTTCGGCCGACCCTGCTCAAGATGACGGTCCCAAGTCTCCTTCCTGCGACAATCCTTTTGAATTGGTAACTTTTTTATTTACTGATTATTGCATCCATTCGTTTTATTTTTCCTTCTATTTGATATTGATTCCTCACAGAATCGTTAATTGAGTTCGGATCTGAAATGATTCTAGTCTATTTCTGGTAGCAATATTATCGATTTACGTTTTGCAATTTTATTGATGCAATACTGTTTTGAACTCCGATTTGGCTTGAGATTTTGATAAAATTAGAGTATTGAGATAGGGTTTAACAAGGTAATATGAATGAGTAGACAATCTAGTGGGTTCCATAGATAATCATGAGAAGAGAAAGATCAACTGTGGTGTGAGGTTTTGCCATGTTTGAAGATAACAGGCTGTGGGATTGATGTTTGGTGGAGAATGAGCCTTAAACTTCTAATGTTTGAGTTTTTGCTATCAATTCAATCTAATTTTTTTTTTTTTCTATTGCTTTTCTAAACATAATACAAACAAATTGTGGACCTCCAGGTCAAGGTCAAGAGCTGGGTTGATGGCATTGAAGGCGAAGATATAGCTGGGTTAACTGCAAGATTTGGGGGATTACTGCCTACTCGTGCTGACAAAAGTCAAAGATTCCCTGCTGTTTTCTCGGATCCCTTAAACTGCTGTTCTAACTCATCTACAAAGGTTTTTTGATTGGTTTGCCTTTGCTAAATCTTGTCTCATCTACAGAGTATTGTTGTTGCCTGGTGGAATTTTATCCAAATGTTGTTGACTTATGAGACATGTCTCCTTAAACTTTCAAAAATTAGGACAACCCCTAAAATTTTCAAAGTTGGTTTAATAAAGATGAATTGGTAAATGAAACTTCATGTTTGTGTTCCTCTTATAAACATGAATGCCTCTGATGCATTTGAATTTTAAAGAGTAAGAGTGAAACTTTGCTGCTCTACAGTTGTCTGGCTCTGTGGTGCTGTCAATACGTGGTGATTGTTCCTTCACAGCTAAGGCAGAAGTTGCACAGTCAAGAGGCGCTATAGCGTTGCTGGTGATAAATGATCAAGAAGGTTGTAATATGTTGGTAGTATTTTGCAATTTGTTCCCTGTAATTGCAATATTCATTAATTTCTGGTGATTGATTGTGCAACTCTGATGCTTCACCACACTCTGACCAAATTTCAATTTTCTTTAAATTTATATAGAGCTTTACAAGATGGTTTGTTCGGAGAATGATACCTCTCCGAATATTTCAATTCCTGTTGTGATGATTCCAAAGTCAGCTGGAGATGTACTTAACAAATCTGTAATGGACAAACATGGTAGGCTTTTGAGTTATTGTTATTATTTCTTATTGTTTTCTCTTAATCATTATCCTTTTAGGAATTTAAGATATTTTTCTTGTCTTGATCGTTAGCAATTAGCATCATTGAGAGAAGTTAGGATCTCTTGTGTATATTCTGGATATTGAGTAGTGTGCAGGATGAAATGCTCTTAAACTAATTTTATTTTTATTTCAAGATTTATATATGCCTAATCAATGCTAATTCCTCCAATACAGTGGAAATTCTATTATATGCACCAGAAGTACCACTTATTGATCTTGGGGTGGTATTTTTGTGGCTAATGGCTGTTGGGACGATACTCATTGCTTCACTCTGTCAAGAGTTTGGTGGTTCTGAGTTGTCTGATCGCTATAATCAATTATCACCAAAGGTTTACTACATTCAGTCCTCTAGTTAATTATTTATATTTCTCTTATCTGATTCCTTGATAAATTTTTTATTTAACTTCTGCATTGGCTAGGACTCTGCTGAAACAACCAAAGATGATTCTGACAAGGAAGTCCTTGATATTACGGCAAAGAGTGCTGTAGTCTTTGTCATATCAGCATCAACTTTTCTAGTGCTACTCTATTTTTTCATGTCAAGTTGGTTCGTCTGGATTCTTATTGTGCTCTTCTGCATTGGTGGTGTTCAGGTAACATGCTTCTGGATTGTGCATGATTTAATAGGGTCCAAACGAACACATTTTAGTTATATACAGCAATAATGTGCCCAGTCTCCATGTATTACCAAGAGTATAGATGTATTTGAATGTTGGAACAGCTAAACAATCTGTAGACCTGAACATTTTGTTCTTAACTCTGTACAGCATGCTTCGGGATAGAATATTTGCTTTGAGGGAATATAATTGCTTTTGAAGAAAGATGAAAGTTAAACACTTAAATGCACAATAGATGCCATCCTGTTCCTTATCCTTGTTTTATATATTTTGTGTTAGAAGATTGCATTCACATTTTTATTTACAGCTAAATAATCAATAATGCTGACCTATTTGATTGGGTTTTATTTCAGGGGATGCATAATTGTATAATGATGCTGATATTAAGGTATCCTTGAAGTTTGTCTGTCTTGCTGCTAAACCTATGAAGTAGTTGCTTATTTACTGTTCCTTGTACATGTGTATAATCAGAAAATGCAGAAACTGTTCAAAGAAGATGTTGAATTTGCCTTTCTTTGGGGAGGTTTCTGTTGTCTCATTCGTAATTGCATTACTTTGTGTGTCATTTGGCATTGTATGGGCTGTCCAACGACGTGCATCATATTCATGGATTGGACAAGATATTCTTGTAAGTCTTTCATATCTCTTCTTGTGTTCTAGACTATTTATTCAACATTTTGATTTTCGGAAATGATTAGCAAAAACATGTGAGTTTGGTGCTTTCTTTAGCACTTGGTAATGAGTCATCCATCTTAACTGCAAGCCTTTCTTTTTTCCTAAGCATTTCTGTTTAATGTATTCTGTAAATGATGAATGTGAAAATGGCAAGGAAAAATTAGTGTTCTTCCCTAGTGGTTTCATGTTAGTCTTTTATCATTTCGGATGAATTACATCTTTGAAGCCCATTCAAGATTTCGTTCTGATACATATGTTTCTTTGAAATCCTTTTCCCATTTCCTGGTTTCTCTTTTCATTTTACCATAGATGATTGTGCCAGTCAATACACATGAAGACTTTTAGAAGAGTTAATTTTAGTTTTGCACATTGATAGCCAGATAACGGGAAAAAAAAAATTGACTTTATGGTCTAATGGTTTGCAATTGAATAGTGACGGTCAATTTGCAAATTTAGCAGTTTTCAGTATTTTAACCATTATCTCTAGTATTTTTTTAGCTTGTAACTTCCAAATTTCTATCCTTTCTTCTCTTATTAACAGATCTACTGTTGTCTAACAAGGGTTAATTAATTTAAATTGCTGCTACTACCCCTACAATTTCATCTGTTGTTTTCTTGCGTTGAATATTTTTTTTAAGCTTATCACTACATTGTTCAGATTCCTTCTGGAGTTAATAAATTGATGGCTTTTTGGGTTCCAGGGTATCTGTTTGATGATAACAGTCTTACAGATGGCTCGACTACCAAACATCATGGTACCTTAATTTAGTTTTTATGTCTTATTAAATTCAGTTCCATAGCTTTGCCTTTGATGTCTTTTCATAACTCAGGTTGCTACAGTACTTCTTAGCTGTGCATTTGTTTATGACATCTTCTGGGTCTTCTTGTCTCCTTTAATATTCCATGAGAGTGTGATGATTGCAGTAAGTTCTTATTAATTTAGTTGTATTATTTAAGTTGAATTTTGATCTATTTCATTGAGAATAGACAGCTATTTTGTAAAATAATGACCTATTGTCATTGCTCTTCTTGTTTTATAGGTTGCACGAGGTGACAATAGTGGTGGAGAATCTATTCCCATGCTCTTGAGAGTACCTAAATTTTTTGACCCTTGGGGTGGAGATAATATGGTTGGATTTGGGGATATTCTCTTTCCTGGTTTGCTTATATCATTTGCTTTCAGGTACAGTTTGGTTTATTTAGTGTGAATTATTTGGTGACTGGTCTAACTTTATAGCCAGAGAGTTGGTGAAATATTGGAACTGGATTCATTTAGTGGATCAAATTTGTTGGTGACTGATGCTTAACTTAGTTGTGTTTATTGCCCTTTTCCTTTTCTGCAAGGCCTTACTTTCTTTGATATTTGTGTTTATTTTGTTTTTCATGTTTGTTTGTCTTAGATATGATAAAGAAAACAAGAAGACTCTTGCAGGTGGATATTTTCTTTGGTTGATGATTGGCTATGGAATTGGTGAGTGTTTTTCTGTTAGGAATTTTTTATTTATAACTGCCCCCATGTATTGGCACATCTTGATGTATATAACCTCCACTTATTTTCCAATCATTTTGGAGCCTAGAAAATATCCCTTTTCTGGTATTCTGCCTTCAACTCTTAAGGCTTGGTGCTTGAAGACTTGCTGCTTTATCTTAAATGACATCTGATGGTCTACCTTTTGTTCCTTTTTAATGGTTTATTTTGAATTCTGTGCTTATAAGTATCTGATACATTATGATCTTAAATGTATGGTTTTTAAAGTTCTAACTTCTAAGGCGCTCTACTTCTTACTTGTGGATGGTCTTTCCTTTGCAGGCCTCTGTTTCACGTACCTAGCATTATATCTAATGGATGGGCATGGTCAACCTGCACTCCTCTATCTTGTTCCTTGTACACTAGGTAATCAAGTGTTGGAGTCTGCATTGGCAGACTACTTTGTTTGTTTGTTTTTATATATATATATATATATATGTATGTATGTACATATATAGGAGGGATCCACTTACACACAAGTTTTACAGACCATACTTACACAAAATCTCAACTATTCATCTCTCCACTTTTAATGATTGAGATTTATTTACATTTATTAAAGATAATTATTATTTTTATCTAAAAAGTCGTGATAAATCTCAACCATTGAAAGTGAAAAGATGAATGGTTAAGATTTTGTGTAAGTGTGGTGTGTAAGACTTGTGTGTAAATGGATCCCTCCTCTATATATATATAAAATTTCAAAATGGCTTTATTTAAATCATAGTAGCCTGTCATCTTAAAATGACATTAAAATGTGGTTTTTTGAAATCCTTCCTTGAAAGTCTGCCTTTCTTCCTTAAGCGCGCTCTATATTCAACTTGACAAAAAATGTAATCTAGGAAAGGATTTTGAAATTCTGGTCTAGTATGAAATATCCATTGAAGCTTGAAATCATTCATCCAAAAACAATTTTAGAGATAC